AATAAAGCTTTGATTTTTAATGTTTAGTGACATTCTAGGGTTTGTTATTGATCTTGTTAGTATCATGCCTAGGATCTTGCTATTATTATTATGCTTTATTAAGATTGAGATTATTATGGTGATGATTGTTATTATTTATTGTTGCTTGATATTATTATTGTTATTGCTTGATCACGCCTTTGATGCTTATTTAAAGGAAATTTGTACTTGATATCACTCTTAATAAGATAATTAATAATCTTATTTAGGCTAATATGATTATAATTCAAGTGATTGCCAATAATAGTTTTGCTTATGCATTAATATTCAACCAACATAGATTAAACAGATTTAGGGTCAATCTATTGATTAGATGTTAGTCAGAAAGCGCACATGAATACGAGAAGAATAAAGTAGAGACCTATTAGTTCAATCTCTGAATATCCAGTCATGGTTCTAGACCACGCACTATGGAGTTAGCGATCTCATGGATCGTGAAGGGGTGTAACCTTCACCCTATGAATGCTTTACAAGTTCCTAAAACTTGTTGGCGACTCTTTTACTCTAGCTTCCTTCCCTTTGGATGCCACCATGCTTAAATGTATGATCACAATGGGGATCAAGTGTGGGATGCTTCAAATATTCCCTACACATGTGTAATGACATGTCAACAAAGGTCTTAACAAATTCTATTATTCTTCCTATCAAAATTTGATTATGTTTGTAACTAATTTGTAGTTAGTCGTTATGAAATTTAATAATAGAATATTTGTTGTAATATTTAAGTATAAAAATAGAAACCACGCCTCATGTAATTCATTGAAAACTTTTCCTGGTTTTTTAATCAATGAATAATATCTCCCTCTTTTCTCTCTATTTTTCTTCCTTGTACTTTTCTGTTATGAAAATCTTTGGTTTTTAGGAACTTCAATAAAATTAGAGAAATCATTAGTAGTAGTTTAATATCCCAATACCAGTCTATGCAACCGAACGTTAACGTGTAAGATGCGGTCATTGCAACGCCGTTACAGTAATGTTTCATTCGTGTACTATTTTTTAAGATTATAACATGACATTGATTGTATTGTACTTAGTGAAGAGCCTAGATTATCAGTTTTACCCCTAGATAGACATATGAAGCAATTCATAAATATTAACTAGGATTTTCACAAAAATTTCTAGAGGTTGGTGATCGTCTGATGCAATAATTTCGATCTAATTCTGGGAATTATTATATATGTCGACTTCAATGATAATAGTTATTATATTATCCAAGTACTTACAGTTGAATTCATGATGTTTCTGGAAACCGCTAATCTTTTTAAGTTTTTTCAAAGTACGTATATCATGATTTCCTAAAACTACTATCCGATTGTCCAAATGTCCTTGTTAGAGTATATGGCTCAAGTCAACAACCACTTTAGCACACAGAGATCAAGTCAGCAGCCACCTCAGCTCAGTGATATTATAGCAACAACAAACTTCCAGCTCAGCATTTAGTTTGTTATAGCTTTAGAAAAGTTGTTACAATCTGTAACTAACTCTTGTATAAATAGGAGTTTTGTGTTGTATTCTCATTCATTCATTCAATAAAAAAACATCTTTCTTCTTCCTCAAGCTTCTGTTTTCTCTCAATTCTCTCTCTAAAATCTAGAACATTTTTCCAGAATAAAGTTCATTTCAAGATCATCAGTATGGTATCTAAGCAGAATTTTGCTCGATTTTGATCCAAACTCCGCTTGATTTCTTAATTGTTTTTTCTGTTAAACAATTTTTCTATCATTTTTTTCTTGAGTTTTATTTGATTGTTCATAAAAAATGGTGCCTCGTAATTCAGGAAATAGTTCATCAAATACTGATGCAAATGCAGAAATTAATCCTTCACAAAATCCTAATTCAGTATATTTCTTTAGTAATTCTGATCTCACAATTATAAAGTTGGTGAATATTGTGTTTGATAGATCAAGTTTCAATGATTAGAAAAGATCAATGACAATCGCTTTATCAGCAAGGAATAAGCTGTACTTCATTGATGGAGGATTGAATCAACCTTCCAGCAATTCACCAAATCTCAAAATCTGGACCAAATGCAATAATCTGGTAATATCTTGGATCTTGAACTCTCTTGATGCTTCAATTGCTCGTAGTGTTCTATATTTGAAGACAGCAAGGCTAATTTGGCTGGATTAAGATTAGAGATTCAGTCAGTCTTCTAGACCTCAATTATTTTCTGTTCAACAACAGTTAACTGATATTTCTCAATGAGATTCTGAAGGTATTCCTTAATTTTACACTCGAATTAAGCAACTATGGGATCAGTTAGATGGTTTAGATCCTCTTCCTGCTTGTGTATGTACTAGTTGCAATTGTACTTTAACTCAGCAATTATTTAGATCTCAATAGAATCAGAGGTTTATCCATTTTTGATGAAAATTCATGATAAATACTCACACACTAAGAGTACTATCTTGATGATGAATCCTTTGCCAACTATGTCAAAGGCATATAGCTTATTGCTATATGATAAAAATCACATGAATATGAGTAATATCAAGAATCAGCATAGTCAGGAATCTCCAACATTCTATGCAAAGAGGTTAAATGACAGCATTAATCAGCTTACTAATACCATATTTATAACCTCTAATGGAGGAACAGGATAATCAGCTGAACCTATTTCTAGAGTTTCAAACACAAGAAATTTTGTGTACACAAGAAACAATCTATATTGTGATCATTGCAAAATGAGAAATCATACAAGGGACAAGTGTTTTAAGTTGCATGGCTATCCTTCTGATTTCAATAACAAAGGGAAGAGAGTTGCAGCATCTGTTCAGCTTGATAGTTCAACTGTTTGAGAATCTACAAATTTGATCAGTATGTTTGTCACTCAAGATCAACATCAACAAATTTTGCAATATCCGAATGAGCACCATTCTCCTGAGCAAGGTGAACTTTCTGGAGGTTCTAGTTCCCTTAGCTTAGCTGCTACTTCTCAATTGGCAGGTACTTTCTGCCTGTCTTCTTCATTATTTCCCAAGTGGATTTTAGATAGTGGTGCATCTGATCATATGTGTGCTGATATTTCTATATTCAAATCACACTTAAAATTATGTGATGAAAGATATATAACTATTCCAAATGGGACAAAGTTAAAAGTTGAACACACAAGAACAATTTCATTAAAATCAGGCATTATACTTCATAATGTTCTACATGTTCCTGGTTTTCATTTTAATTTGGTTTTAATTTCAAAACTCTGCAAAGATATGTCATGTTCAGTATCATTCACTAATGATACATGCTTGATTTAGGGCCCTTCTTTGACCAATCCAATAGTGCTTGGTAAGTTGAACAATGGACTGTACAGTCTGTGTGATGATAATTTGTTTGCAAATAATGCTGTTAGGAGCGTTGGTCTTGCTATTGAAGAAGCCAAACTTTGGCACCTTCATTTAGGACATATGTCTTTTGAAAAAATAAAAACAATTAAAGGCACTACTGTGCAGGGTTGCCTAGCTGAAAATTTGTGTCAAGTTTGTCCTCTAGCTAAGCAATCTAGATTTTCTTTTCCTACTAGTTCAATTAAGTCTTGTAAACCTTTTAAGCTAGTTCATATTGATGTTTGGGGTCCTTATACTCAGACTACATACACTGGTTGTAATCAGTTCTTAACAATTGTAGATGATTTTTCAAGAATGACTTGGATTCATTTTATGAAGAATAAAAGTGACTCAGTTTCTTAGTTATGATGAAACTCAGTTCTCTTCAAAGGTTTTAGCTGTAAGATCAGATAATAATGCCTTAGATCTTACAGAAGGAGGTATGAAACTGTTGCTTCTGCAATATGGGATATTGCAACAGAAATCCTGCAGTGACACACCCCAACAAAATGGGGTAGTAGAGAGAAAGCACAAGCATCTCTTAGAGACTGGAAGGGCAATATATATTCAGTTGAAAGTTCCAGCTCGTTTTTGGAGTGAATGTATCCTAGCAGCAGCCTATTTGATCAATATGATGCCCCTTAAATCCATTGATTTACCACACCCTATGAGAAACTATATGGTTCTATTCCTGATATCTCATACCTGAAAGTTTTTGGATGTCTGTGTTATATTTCCACTTACAAAATACATAGAACTAAGCTAGATCCTAGAGTTGTTCCTGCATGTATTCTTGGGATATCCTCCCAATCAGAACGCTTACAAGGTCCTTAACCTTAACACAAACAAAGTAGTTTTTTCCAGAGATGTTTTCTGTGAGGAATATTTTCCATTCAATTTTTCTTCTACTCCTCATTAATCCTATTCCAACAAATTTTTTTCTTCCTGTTATTACAACGGTCTCACAAACTGATTGCAATATTCCTGAAGTTTTCTCACATTCCTTCACAGACCATTGAACCACAAATCCTAATTCTAATACTTCTTCTTTTACTCCCCCTACTTAAATTCCTCAAAATTCTGAATCATCTTCTATTTCACCAAATATTACAAATATTCCCCTCAGACAATATTCTAGACCAACTAAACCTCCCTCTCATCTTCTGATTATCAATGTTATGCTCTCTACAAGAAAAAAAGGAATTAGCAACAGAAATTTGCGACTACCCTAATATGCAGTCGCAAAAAATACTTTTGCAACTGAAAAAGACGACCAGTCACAAATTTTGCAACTAATTTTTCACCAGTTGCTACGCAGTCGCTAATTTGCGACTGAATTTTGTGACCACTATAATAATCAGTCCTAAAAAATATATTTGCGACTTTCAGAGACGAGTAGTCGCAAATTTTGCGACTCATTTTGCAGTAGTTGCAATGTTGTTGCTAAATTGCAACACTCTTATAATTTTTGCGACTATAAATTATAGTTGCTGAGGATAATGATTTTCTAACTTTTTAATTTAAAAAATTTGCAACTAATATTGCAACTAAATCGGTAGTATAAAAAAGAAATAAAAACAAAACCCTTATGAGGAGTTGCCAACAAAACAAAAACCAACTTAATCACTTACTCCTCCATAAAAAAAAAAATTAAAAAAAAAAACTCAATCACTAAAAGGCTTAAGTAATTTTTTCTTCAATAGTTCTATACAGTACAGAAACTCTTCCTCCTTTCACCAAAAAATAAAAAATCAGAAACTCTTCCTTCTAAAAAAAACCACGCATAAGGAAATTTTCAGAGATTCAAGAATTCAACCCTCATTGTCGCTCTTCATCTGCCTCTGCTGCGCGCCTGCGCCACCACGTCTCCTCCAAGGTAAGTTCAAACGCTTGAAGTCCCTTCTATCTTTCGTTTATTGTAATTCACCAACTACGATTTTTAGGGTTATCATTGAATTTTTTGTCCAATTGTTGATTTTAATTTGGTTTCCATGGTGTAATTTAAGTAAATTAATGAAAATCATTCGAAATTGATTGAGTTTGCTAAAATCCCTAATTATTTTCAATGTAAAAATCCCAATTCTGGTTATTTCGAACCCTATATTTTCTGAAGAAGGGGCTTTCGTTGCTTAGAGTGTAATTCTAATTGGGTAATTAATGGATGGAGGGTATTGAGGTTCGTCCGAACTCCATTGAATTCTTGTGTTTGCACTGAATTCTTGTTTTGCTTTGAATTCTTATTTTGCTCTAACTTTATTCTATTTTTGAGGCTAACTTGCTGCTTGCTGATTGTTTTGACAATAATTGTGGTGGGTTCTGGAATGGGTGTGAACTGAGGGAGAATTAGGTTCATTAATATGGTGTGAATCCGTGGCTGCTGCATGGTTGTTTTTTTGTTGTAGGGAGAATAGTGGTTTGGTGTATGATGCATTTAGTGGATGAGTGGGAGTTGATTGTGCTGTTAATAGTATTGTGGATTGTGTGTTAGCGATGGTTGGTTCATTGAGTTTAAGGTATGTTTGAAACTTTGAGACATTTTCTTGTATTCATTGCTCTTAAACTAGTGAAGCTATATACTTGAATACTAGCTTTGAGTCTCTAATTCTCTGCAGAAAGCATTGCCTGGTTGAGTCTTTAATTCTCTGTGAAAAGCATTTCATATTAGAGCAGAGTTCAATTTCCTATATCCTAAGAATATTAGATCACTGACATTTTACAATGCATCCATTAACTGTCATATTTTTTTTCTTAAACTTTAAGCCAAAATCTATAACGAAACCCACCTGTGCTCGATTGATGCACCTCATTTGTTGTTAGTATGTTGTTATGTTAATCTCTTGGTTGTATAATATGTTATTTTGTTATTTTTTTCTAGCAAGTTTTATCTGGATGACAGAATCCTATCACCGGAATCAGATTTTCAAGCATTCCTGCTTTCAATTGTTGTCCTGGTCAGAATTTTTTTTAATTGAATTGAGACAATAATTCTCGTTCTTTTCTTGGTTTGTTTTTTGGTTTGCTTATGTTATCAATACCTAGAGTCCTTCCTGGGATCATAATAATCCTCCCCCCTCCCCCTATTTTTCGAGACATACATTGCAAATTTGCAAGTACCACCAGGAGTTTCTTGATTGTATTTATTGCTGGTATTAGACATTATTTTTGTGTTTAGTAGAGTTTCTAAACTTGCACTTATTATAGATCTCTGTCCTTGATTACAATTAAGGTTTCTTGGTTAATTTGGAGCGAAGGATCTGTGTAAGTGTGAGGAAATGAATGAAAGAAACCAGAAGAATGCTAAACCACTACTTGACATTTCTTTTTTGCACAGCATCAAACTCCCTCTTATTTCCCATTTCATTTTCTTGGTTTGTAGCTACCCATTTGTACTGATTATATCTCTTCACAAACTGCTTTAACTCTGGAGGCAGCTGTCTTTGATGCATCCATTGCTCTGTATCTGTTATCCTGATCCTCCACTCTTCCAATCAGACTGTAGTTGACTACAAATATGTCTGCAATTACAGAATATGGCAACATTCACTTCTAAAATTCTTAGATACTACATTTTTTTTATAGATACTAAGCCACTATTGTCGTAACTTCAATCTACTTAGCTGACAGTGGTAACCTTTCAAAAAGAGAGAAAGGGTACTAACTTGCTTGTTTCAATGGTTAAATTTTATGGATTTTTTATACTTAGCTATTTACTTATATCTTAAGAAAATTATATAAAGTAAAATTCTGATTGGATATTTTGCATTGCAATCTTATTATGAATCCCTAACCTGTTATCAGTGCTATCAAATATTGCAGACTTCCAAACTGTCAAACTTTGTTTTATTCTAGATTTTTTTGGTGCCTTTTCAAAGTTTTAGCTTATTCCATTTCTTGTTAATTTATGATAGTTCCTATAATAAAAAGGTAAGAGATTATATCATATTTGCTATTTGAGATACAATGTTAATTAAACTCTTGGGTAATTATGTGCAGCGTACATGAGACTTGAGTTCGATGCTAAGGCTAGGAGAGACTTTGACAAAAAAGTTGGGGACCGACTTAGGGGTACATTGAACCAAGTTTTCAAAATGCCTCTCCATAAGAAGTTAATTTCATGATTGACACTGTTCGAGCCGAATTCATAAATAAGCGTAAGCGTCCAGATTTTGTGAAACGTTGTGAGCAAGCAAGTGATAATCAGTTATCTAGACAAATATTAGAGACAATCGGTTATCTAACTGACCTTTAATTTTTGGAGGCATATTTGTATATCTTCATTAATTTTTATTTGAAGTAGCTTCTTTGTGTAGGAGGTGATTTTTGAAACAATTAGTCATAGTTTAGAATACTGCTTTTTAGTACAATTATACAAAATTGAGTATATTTAAATAAAATTATCATGTTGGTTATTTAACTTTATGCGTGGGTACCTTTTTTTGTGATTGATATTGGTCGTTGGCTCGTTGCTAAATTATGGTCTCTAAATATTAATAGCCAGTTGCAAAAATTTTGCGACTGCAGATTTGTTTTAGAGAATGATCGGTTAGTTGCAAAATAATTAGTCTCAATGACTAATTTGTCGCAAAAAAAAAATATAGTTTTGTAGTCGCAAAAATTTGGTCTCGTATGTAGTTGCTAATCCGTTGTAAAAAACATTAGTCTCAATAGTCGCAAATCCAACACAATAAAACTAGTCTCCGTAGTCGCAAAAGTTTGGTCTTGTAGTCGCTAATCTGTCGCAAAAGTAGTCTTAAAACATTGGTCTCCGTAGTTTCTAATCCGTCGCAAATATATTACTACGGACAATAATTTAGTTGCTGAAATTTGAAAGTTAGTTGCTAAAGGGCAGTTGCAAAGGCGTTACAAATCCGTTGCTAAATTTGCGACTGTTCAAAAATTAGTCGCAAAAATGGATTTGCGACGAGGTCTTTGGCAACGAACCAAAGTAGTTGCAAATCCGTGGATTTGCGACGGATTTGCGACTACTTTGGCCATCGCTAATTACCCTTTTTTCTTGTAGTGGCTGCCACATAACATTGGTGTAACCTTGTTTCTTTTGATTCTCTTCCTGCTCAACAGCAACTTGCAATTTGTGCTCATCAATCTCTTATGAAACCAACCAGTTATGCTAAGTCTGCTGTGAATCCTTATTGGGTTGATGCTATGGATAAAGAGATTTCTGCTCTCAATAATAATAATACATGGGATATTGTTATGCTTCCTAAAGGGAAGAAAGCTATAGGATGTAAATGGGTTTTCAGGCAGATGGTTCTACTGAAAGATACAAAGCTAGATTAGTTGCTAAAAGCTTCACACAAAAGTATGGAGTTGATTATGAAGAAACTTTTTCTCCAGTTGTCAAGATATCTACAATCAGGTGTTTGATTTCTCTTGCTGCTTAGAACAACTGGAAATTGTTTTAACTTTACATAAACAATGCTTTTTTTCATGGCACTTTACATGAATAGGTTTATATGAAGGTTCCAGAGGGTGTTTCTTCTCCTGCAGGTCATGTTTGTAGACTGAAAAAGTCATTATATGGTTTAAAACAAGATTTTAGGCAATGGTTTGCCAGATTAGTTGAAGAATTATAGTTTCAAGGGTTTAGTCAATCAAAGAATGATTATTCTCTTTTTCTGAAGAAGGATGCAAATGATAGTACATTAGTTGTTGTCTATGTTGATGTTATAGTCATCATAGGTTCAAATGAGCAATTGATTTCTTATTGGAAGACTCATTTGCATAAGATTTTCAGCGTCAAGGATTTGGGAGAGCTGAACTATTTCCTAGGCATTGAAGTAAGTAAGTGTGCAAATGGTTATGTTCTATCTCAAAGGGCATTCAAAAAGGAACTCTTACAAGACTGTTAATTTGATATCTCCGGGTCTGCCAACTCTCCTTTTCCTTCTACTTTGAAGCTTCATTCTGATCAAGGTGATCTTTATGATAATCTTGCTCTTTATGGATGTTATGTTGGGAAACTAAATTTTCTCACCAATACAAGGCATGATCTTGCCTTTGATGTTCAGTCCTTGAGTCAGTTTATGCACTCTCCAAGGATCCCTCACGTTGAAGCCTTGAAACATACCTTGAGATATGTTGCTTGTACTGCTGGGTCAGGGAATTCTACTTAAGGCAACTAATTAGCATATTCTTCAAGCGTTCTGTGATTCTGATTGGGCTGCTTTCCCTTCTTCCAAAAAATTTGTAACTGGTTATGTGCTGCTTCTTGGTCAATCTCTAATCTCTTGGAAGTCCAAGAAATAAAGTACAACTTCTAAAAGCTCTGCTGAAGCAAAATACAGGGCAATGTCTCATGCTGCCAGTGAAGTTGATTGGTTGGTAAGGATTCTTGATGAGTTGGGCTTGGGTAATTTGAAGCCAGTGAAGCTGCACTATGATAGTCAGTCTGCTATCCATATATTTAAAAATCCAGTTTTCCATGAACGCACTATTGAAGTGGACTGCCATTTCACCATAGATAAGGTTCTTGCATGCCTTATTGAACTATGCTATATTCCTACGGGACAACAGCTTGCAAATGTGTTCACCAAACAACATCCTGTTCTTCAGCAACATACTCTCTTATCCAAACTTGGCATGGTTCCCTCACCCCTGCCAAGTTTGAGGGGGGTGTTGGAGTATATGGCTCAAATCAGCAATCACTTCAGCACACAGAGATCAAGTCAGCAGCCACCTCAGCTCAATGATATTAAAGAAAAGTTGTTACAATTTATAACTAACTCTTGTATAAATAGGAGTTTTGTGTTGTATTCTCAGTCATTCATTCAATAATAAAACTTCTTTCTTCATCCTCAAGCTTCTCTTTTCTCTCAATTCTCTCTCTAAAATCTGGAACATTTTTCCAGAATGAAGTTCATTTCAAGAACTTCAACAGTCCTTCTGCTGAGCCTAGCAAAGGTATGTTAAAGGGCTTTGCCTTGATGTTCGAGGACTCGGCCTGCAAAACAAAGAAGTTTAGCTATCCCGGGGTATGACTCGAGAAAGTCGTGCCCTTTCAATGCTTAAGTCAGGGAGTGTATTTTCTAGAGAGAGAAAGGAGAGAGAGAGTGTGTTTTTAGAGAAAATTTTAAGAGAACGAAGGAGAGAGATCAGAAAGTCTTCATCATTAATGAATGATGAGCTATTTATACATGTACTTTTCAGGTGACAGTTTTGTACTTGAGAAGACAGAGTTGAGGCAAATCTGTAGTTTGCAATGACAAAGCGTATTTTTTTCATTACAGGTCATTGAGCTTAGGACATGGACTAGTCCCAAAGACATGAATTTTGTAATTGAAGAAGTTTCTAAAAACAATTGATTTTAAGCTTCGAAGGAGCTACTTTGTTGATTCAATAGAAATTTAGGTCTTAATATGCAATTGTTTTAATCTTGATTGTTTTGTTGATGCAATACGCTAATGAAGTATTCTTTGATATCGTCCTGTGAACCATGATTTAAAGTGCTACATCCAACAGCCATTTCCATCAAGTGATCAAGTTGTAAGTTAGTTGTATAAAGAAGTAGATATTTTCCCATTTAGTTTGTTTTTCTTCATTTCATCGTTCTCTTAGGTTTCGACTTGTAAATGGTTATGAAAATTGAGGCCAATAATTGCCTTTTAAGCAGACCAGTCTTCATTTCATCGTTCTTTTAGGTAAAATAATCTGCCAACCAGTCAATTAATAATAAAGCAAATTTATATACAATCCAAATTGTGTAGACATTAGCTAGCTTACAAATTAACAAAAATTCTTTCAATCGACAGTTTAACTTATTGTTGGGACCGGAAAAATGGAAAAATTGGAAATATTTTTAGAGTATGTACAGAGTATATGTGAAGATATGAGCAACAAACAATTCACAATCTAGAAACTAGAATGAGAGTATGTTCATTAGTGACACTTTTGTATTCGTTAATTGTGTGAACATCTTCTCTAAATCATTTTGAATTCCCTGCACAACTCCCACCAGCACCTTCGATTTCGGTAGTGCATAACACAATTTCTGATCATTTAAATCTTTCCATGAAAACAGTTGATGCAGCACATTATCAACATCATTTATCTCATTTTCGCTTTCATACTTCCACTTTCCCTTGTTCATCAGCTTAGAAACCATAGACTTTTTTGGCCTAGACACGGGTATTGACAAGAATAACAGAAGTGATTGAAATACAGACAAGTTTATGATGCTAACACATCTTAGTGATTTTATCACTGTTGATCGATTACAATCTTCTTCTCCAAGTACTTCAGCATTGAGTTGATTCAATGACTTGAGTACTTCTTTCGCTTTCCTAATTACCTCCTTCCTTAAGGAGTTGTAATTAGCAATATTGCTCTGCATTTTCGAGATATCTGCTTCATTTTCTGAAAGTGAAGATTCAAGACTTTTAATGATTTTGACTTGTTGTGATACAACTTCCTTGATTAAGCTGCAAACATTAACAAGGCTCGAGCATCCCTTGAACAATTCGGCAACATGTTTCTCATGTTGCCGAATTGAGAGTGCTTGTTGTGTCATTGGAAGACTCAGGGCTTGGTTGATATAGCCATACAACTTCTCTAGCCCCGATACACCAATGATAATTCTTTCCGAGGCTGATGTTGATGCTTCCTCTTTGGATCTGAGCCTTTTTAACTCTTGTTCGATTCTGTGGTTGATTGGATTCAGCTTGGAAGGTAAACTTAGTGATCTAATTTTGTGAGTAGTGTTCATTTCTGTAGAAAAACTAGCCATGATTTAAGACTTGTTTGTAACTTTTGGTGTTACTAATGAAGTAACGAACTTCAAGTAGTTGGATTGTTGCTGTTAATGGAGAGGATGGTTATTATCTCATGAATGTGTTCATATATATAGGAGTCGGAAGCGACATGACAGATAGTTTACTAGGAGTCTAGGACAACCAAACAATGGCAGCTAGCAAGGCTTATTGATCCTTTTGTCTATAATCATACTTAGGAAAGGTATTAGCAATAATTGTGGTCACTAAAACTAAACAGTTCATTATTTGGTCATTGGTTGAGGGTTTTACAGCCTGGTGTACCCTTTAAGAGAACTCATTACTGTATTAAGTGTTCAGGTCATTCCACAAAGAAAGATCTTGGAACGAGCTGATACAAAATTATGTACACGAGTGGGTTGGCTTTTCGTCATTTTGTGAAGGAAAGTTGCGTTCTATGTTTTGCCATTGAGATCTTGTCTAAGAATCGTGCTGACAGTGACATGTGACTCCCTGTAATTGCACGTACCACCTAAACATGGTTGTTGGACAGGGAATCAGATTTGAGCTAAGAGAAATCGGTTATATTAGACGCGGAAGTATATTGAATAAGATTAATAGAAGGTCAAAATGTTAACCCAATAAAAGGCCAAAAGAAAGTGACATGTGTAATGGTACCAATTATATAACGATACGTGCTATGGTAAACAATTGTATGACGACACATGTTATGGTAACCTGTAAAAACAAGTTACCAACCAATTTTTGTCAGTCTAAAATGATTACCTCTAAAAGGTTGTAATATTAGACTCTCTCCAATGGTGAGATTCAAGTGAGTATTTTTAGGAGAGAGAGAGTATTTTTTGCAACGTATACCAATAAATTAGTATCTAAAATTAGCAATTTCAAAAGAAAGTTGCTAAGTTTAGATACTCAACTTTGAGTCACATTTGACAAAAAGTGTAGGCCCTTGTCAATATTCTAATATATTTTGTAATTTATTTAAAATTTACCTTTTTTATTTATTATTTTTTAATCTTACAATAATTTATGGGCCATAAATTGAAAGTGATATTTTTATAGTTTAGAGAGTCTCACCATTGAAAAATTAGACTTAACATGAGTTGCTAAATTGAGAAGTGGGTATGATCTCACCATTGAAGGTAAAAAACAACTCATTTTATATTTCAATATTCAAAGTTAAGTCTCACCATTGGAGATGGTCTTAATGTATACTCCCTTCATTTTAGAATACTTGTTCTATTTCTCCATGCGCGGAGTTTTAGGAGAAATTGAAAAAAATAATATAATATGAAGGTAGTGGGGTTGGTAGAAGAATAAAATATTGTAGAAAGCAAAAGTAGTGGAGAGAATTAGAGGAGAGAGAATATATATTGGATCCACTAGGTGAGAGAAATAAATTAAATATTGTAAAAGCTTTTCAAAAAAGGAAATGGAGCAAGTATTTAAAAACGACTGCAAATGGAAAGTGGAGCAAGTATTTAAATACGGAGGGAGTAATATAATTGTTGTATTGTTTGAAAAGAACAGACCAAAAGTTGCATTATTTTTTGGGAAAATTTGTTAATTACAAGCCATAAAAGTATCCATTATGCTGGCAGCCACCACTTTTTATTTTTGCAAATTACAACCAAAACAATCACCAAACATTGTAAAGTACAACTAAAATCTGATTTTTGGCCACTTTTACCAGAGTGTGAAGTCATTACTTATTTATTGATATAAAGATAACCCCGTGCCAATAGTAATTTGGGATCATTTATTGATATATTGACCTCATATTCTAGTTAAAATGGCCGAAAATCGAATTATTGTTGTAGTTTAAATCATTCAGTAATTATTTTTGTTGTAATTTGCAAAAGTAAAAAGTGATGGTTATAACTAATAAAATAAGTAATTTTATCGGTTGTAATTTGTAAATTTTTTTTTTTTTTGCAATTTTTCCTAAAAGTTAAGTAATGTTATACATGTGGACATGCCTAGGCAAGAAGGGACACTTAAAATAAATAGAGGGGGTACCAAGTGGTTTAATCCTTGCTCGGTTAAATAAACTAATACTCTGCGTCTTTTTTTTTAAAAAAAAAACTCTGCATTATTTTGTTAATGGTCATGTGAGTTTTTCAAGGGCCAGCTGTTAAATACGAGTCTGAGCCGCGCCTGCAAACTAAGAGAGAGAATCTACTCCACAAGTTCCATTCAAAAATCATATGGCAATAGGAGTAGTAACACATTTGCCTTATAAGGCGATTAACTCTCTCTTCTTCAATCAATGTGGGACATTTACATGTGGTGATATGTGAGGGATCTATTCTTCAACTCTCTCTCTAAATTAAGGCCTTGATACCAAGTTAAATACGGGTCATTGAGGTCTAGGTTGCACCTGATAAAGAGAGTTCACTCCACAAGACTGAAAAAGGTTCCACCCCAAACCATATAACAATAGGAGGAGTAACCCTTTAGCTTTATAAAATGATTAATGTTAGAGGACGAACTCAACCAAAAAATTAAGGGGCCCTCCTTATACCCAGAGCTTAATATACCACTGGAAAGTGGAGAAGTGGATGAGATTCGAACCCGTAATCTTTGTGTCACGCTGGTTCTGATATCATGTTAGAGAACCAAATCAACCAAAACTGTAAAGCTCTCTCTTTTCCAACAATATAAGATACTTATATGTGGAATAATTGTGAGATTTATCATTCAACGTAAGTCTTGGAGTCACGGAGAGGTGAGGGTGGGTGAGGAAGGAGAATCTTCTAAGTGAAAAAGTAAAAGTCAACTACCATTAGAAGTTATATACCGTACCTTTTGGAACTAAAAATACTGCTTAAGGAAAGATATAGGAAAACTCACAGATAAAAAAGTGTAAGATTATGCACACAAGTGAGAGTGTTCTATGGGGAAATATTTACATAACGGTTATCATCATAGGCCGATATTGTATGACATGCCGATATACTATTTGAATCCGTTCCATCAATAACCCTTGTTAATATCGGCATTTCTTTATAGAGTATACATATCGGCATATAAGTAGCTCACACGTGTCGTGCTCACGTTTGACACGTGGCAGAAATTATATTACTTGTTAAACTGCCACATGTCACTTAATTAACCTATAAATAATCTGATTTTACCTCATAAATAAGGTGGCATTTATTGCACTCTTTCTCTCACTACTCTCTCTCTCATTACTTTTTCTTTCTAAATCATCTTTTACTATAAACACTTGCTGACTTAATCTTTGGAGCGGTTATCCCCGGATTCACCTCGGGGCTAGCTAATCTCTTTCCTGTGTGTAGGTTCTTATTTGGCCGATAGGAGCAGAACGGGTTATACACTCGAGCTTCAGATCTTGGATTTGGACTATCGGATTCCTGCAGAAACAAGTGTGATCCAAATAAATTGGTAGCAGACACATTTCGCCTGCTGGCTGTCTGTGTGGTTTTAGGAAGCACAATTGCTCGTGCATGTTGTAGCCATTGTGTTTTTTTTAAGCTTTACTTTTTGACATTTTGATGTGTTCTTTCTTTGAAATAAATCTGCTAGCTGTCGAACACGTGCATCTTGGTATGAAGTTGCAAGACATTATAGAACAATGTAGATAAATTGAATTTTCCTTATTTATTTATTTATTTTTTATTTTTTTTAAAACCAATTGAATTTTCCATTCGTTTCTTTAAATTTTCAAGTATATCAAGATTGACAATGTAAATTATATTCGATGATATCTATAACAATGATTATAAAAGTCATTTTGATGGTTGGTGGTGCTAAAGCTAAATGATATTTTGCTTTTTTTGTTTTGTTTTGTTTTGTTTTGTTTTTTTTAACCATAATAATATTTTGAAGTGTTCTAGCTAATATTAGACCTTAATAAAAATAATACAGTTGTTGCAAATGTTTAGAAATGGAGGAATTTTTACATTATGTTCATGTATAAAGAAGAAAACAATTTGTATGCATGAAACGAAGAGGAATTAGAATGCTAAAGGGAATACTAAAACATTACTTAGTGCATGTCATCATGATATCAAATTAGTAATGTAGTGATAAATTAATGATATACAAATTTTATAGAAAAGCATAGGACATTCATGTAGTGACCAGTTCCATGGACCGTCTAAAACAGAAGCGGATCTAGAATTTTTAATAAGGGGTAACATTGAATAATTAAAATAAAATATGGAAACAAGTTATTATACACTTCGTATACATTATCGTTTGACAATTAGCTTTTCAACTTTTAACATTTATTTTGGTGGATAAATATTTATTTTACTAATGTAGAAAAATTTATATTTTAATCGTGATCAAATTAAAAAGTACTCCATATATATGATTTTTGTATGTATATATCCCGCTTTTATTATTTATAAGGTTAAAAACTATATGATAATTTATACTGGTGTACTATAAGTAAAAAAGAAATTATTACTCATATAAAAATAATTGGTGAATATATTACTTACCAAATATTTGCTTTGAAAAAATGAGAAGTGCAATTAAAATGGAAAGAATTTCATCGAATGAAGGGGTCTTAACTTAAAGAGAATAAGCTACTCATTTTATATAATTTTTTCTTTATCATGTATGATATTTAGAAAATAATTTAAGTTTAATATAATAATTATTATTACTTGAGAAGCATACATATTACTATTTAAATGAAAGCCTTTAGAATAACGAAAAAAAAAAGGATGAGTACAAGTAGAAGAAAAAGTAAAGAAAAATAAAGTCAAAAGAAAAAAGTAGAAAAAATAAAAATAAAAATAAAAATAGAAAAGATAACCTAAGAGACCAGTTTTTATATATACTAGGGTGACCTACGTGCGCGATGGGCGCAAAGGAGTTAGCTCTTATAGAGAAATTGTATTGGTTTTTATTTACACCTTTGTTTTGGGTGGTTGACATGCTAGTTTTAATACGTACTATTTATTTTATGTGCCTATGAGGTGACTTTGTAAAAGTATAAAAAAGCCACCAAAATCTTTTA